TCCCTGGCGGCCACTTGGGTCCGTGGGCTGCAGCAGACTCTGAAGCGGCATCTGCCCGGCGGGGCGGCTCCTGCTGCTGCTGCTGCCATGAAGCGAGGAGGGTCCAGCAGGAGAGGGGCCAAGAGCGACGGCCAGAAGCCGAGGAAGGACCGCGCGGGCCCCGCGGTGGGCGAATGGCAAGGCTGGCTTCGCGGTGAGAGACCGGAAGGGGAACGAGGGCGACGGCGACGGGTGGGGAGAGAGGGGGATGCGGCCGGCCGGGTGGGAGGATGATGAGGCTTGTCGCCATGGCTGAATTTGGGCGACAGAAGTGACAAGAGGAGCGCAATCTTGTGAACATGGACTAAAGTTAAAAAATGGGGAAGGAGCAGATTTCTTGCTGAGATTATAAGCATCTTGAGAAACGGATAAGAGAACCATCTAGGTTCCATTATCAAGATGTCTTTATGAAGGCAACTTTTCTCCTTGGATTCAACAGGGATCGCCACTTCCAGAGTTACAGAGAAAACCAGTGTCATCTCCAGTAGTTGTGCAAGACGTTCTTCTTTTTGAATTAGATATGCAACAAGCCTTTGTTTTTGCCACGAGCCTCAAGCATTTCCTTGATTGATTGATTGATTGATTGATTGATTGACTGATTGATTGATTGATTTTGCTTTCCCGGGTTAGGAGGGATTTGTTGGAAGGGTGGCAGCACAGATGAAATAATGCCCGTGGGAATCTTGCCATAGTCCAGTAGAGCTGCTTATACATTTCTAAACTGCAAGCGAAGTGGTATTTGGATATTCAAGACTTTTAGTTTGTTCCTGTGAGATGGAGAGTGCTGTTTATATAAAAGTGTTATTTCTTTATGTAGGTAGTGTTCTCTTAGTTTGTCTTCTCAGTCCTGATCTAAGCAAATCTGAAATGTATGTCCTTTACCTTAGTAGTGTAGACTACAGCCTAAATCGAACAGGTCATTCCAATTAGAATAAACTGGTGGAATCAGTGAGATTTACATGTGTTGGATTAATCAATCAGTAGTTATCGGATGAGTCTAGTGGAACACGAAACTTAAGCCTATGGTTTTAACTAATATTTTCAGACAGTATTTTACATACTTAGATAGAACTGTATACAGTGGTGCCTCGCATAACCTTTACATACTTAGTAGAACTGTATATCTGAATAGTAGACTGAATCCAAACGTGCCTCTATAGGGCATGTTTAGGTGTACACATGCATAGGATTGATATTTATGTCACTTAAACTTATTAGCCAGAAAACTTAAAGTATGCTTACCTTTGAGCTTATGTAGCTACATTGGAATTTACAGTGGAATTATATCCAGAAAAGTGAGATGGTTTGAAGCAGCTTCCTTAATTTATTTTTTTATTTTATTTATTTAAAATATTTGGTCTCATCTTTCTCCTTAAAAAGGACCCATAGTGGCTTACATCATTAAAAGACAATATTTAAAAGCTAAAATAAGTATACAAACATTAAAAAAGAATCAAATACCACACTGAAAAGAGTACAGTCAACACCACAAATACATTCAATGCCACAAGGCACAACGTTTAATTAAAAAACTTATCTCAGGCATCCATTTGCTAAGGCAAAGCCTGTCTGAGGAACGTAAAGTGCAGCAAATAATTGGTCTTGAGTACTGTATGTTCAATATACAGTGGTGCCTCGCATAGCGACGTTAATCTGTGCAGCAAAAATAGCTGCTAAGCGATTTCATCACTATGCGATTTTAAAAAGCCCACAGAAACGCATTCAATGCATTCCTATGGGCTTAAAACTCACCTTAAAGCAAAGATCCTCCATACGGCGGCCATTTTCGCTGCCTCTTAAGCAAGGAATCCATGCGAAAACACAGCGGGCGGCTATTTTTTTACCTGGCGGCCATTTTGGAACCACCGATCAGCTGTTAAAAAATCATCGCTTTGCGATGATCGTTAAGCAAAACAGGGAACCGATCATCACAAAGTGAAAAAACCTCATAGGAAACATCGCAATGCGATCGCTTTTGCGATTGCAAAAAGTTAATCACTATGCGGTTTCGTTGCTAAACGGAGCACCCGTTAAGCGAGGCACCACTGTACAGTGTTATATATTCTCAACTCTACTGTATACTATAGAAGAGATATAAGCACTTGAAATAAGGATTTAGTTTGAGATGTAAAAAATTTTTGAATCAAGAGGGTGGCCATCAAAGAAGTGCTACAGCAAGTAAAACAAAAAATGGAGAAAGGCAGAGTGCTTCAATCATGTAACAAAACCCACTTGAGTACATATTGTGGCATTGATTATTTGAAGTAGAATAAATGGGGGGGACTTTGAAGACTGCTTTGGATACAGTACAGCATATTTAGAGCTGCTGCATTGAAAGTCAAAATGGTCATGATGACATCTAACCCTGGTGGAAGAACAGTAAGAAGTAGTGTTAGGTAGGTAAATTATTTATATGCCACCTTTTTCCCTGTAGAGAGGACCGAAGGTGGCTTATGACAGATTTAAAAAGCTATATAAACATCATATTTAAAAGAAATTAAACATATACAGTATTAAGATTTAAAAATCAAATTTGAAAACAATTCAAAATATTTAAAACCTGTAAGCTAAAACATGCCGTTATACAAACATTACATGCTGTTGTGCCAGGAAATTCATTTTTGCCATTCTGTCAGAGAACTAATAGCTGTATTTAAATAGGAAATATTAACAACAACAATATTGAAACTAAATTGTGTTATTCATATTAATAGAATTTGGATTGAATATGGGGTAAATTTATATTACTACATTTTGTTGTTTGAAAGCTTTGAATTAAATGTATAGTAAAATAAAATATTTGATGCAGCTTTGTAAACGTGGCCACTGTTTTTCATCCTCAGCAAATTTTCAAAAACATTAAGTTGCTTTTACACACACACACACAAAGGAGTTTGAGCAGTAAAATGTCTAATGAAATTATTTTCCTCTTTTAAACAGATGCTCTGAAAGAAACAGGAGTCTTCATTGCAAAAGTGGATAACAAGATATGGCTTACCCTTCTAATTGGTGAGAATATTTTTTAACGGTGTTCCCATTAACATGTCTACTCAGAAAAAGTCCTAAGTTTAGTTGAACTTACTGTGAGGCAGACTTGCATGTAATTGCAGCTGAAACCTCAGACATTAATATCATTTTCATTGCACAGAGTAGATTACTTGGGTGCATAAAGTATTCATGTGTGTTCTTGTAAGAAGATGTAAAAAATATTTCCACTGTTTGAGTTTTTTCATTTTCTTATCTCAAAGACCGTATCTCCTTTTATGAGCCTGCCTGGGTGTTAAAATCATCAGAGGAAGTCTTTCTCTTGATCCTATCACACTTCACAAGAGAGGGTCTTCTGTCACTGTTCCCAGACTCTGGAACTCCCTGCCACAGGAGGCCAAGGTGGCCCCAACTTTGCTGTCCTTCTGCAGGCAGGCAAAGACCTTTCTCTTCAAGAAGGCTTTCCTTTTGTGACTGACTGTCTAAGGATTTTTTTAATTACACTTATTTTTGTTGTTTTTATTGTGTTTTTAGTATTGCTTTTGCTGTGAGTTTTAATATATTTGGTTAATTCTTTTTCCAATATGGTAATAATGTATTATTTTTAGCTTTTATGTTGTTCATTTTTAATACTGTAAGCTGCCTTGGATCCTTTTAGAAGAAAGTCTAGGTAAAAATATTTTAAATAAATAAATAAAATAATTAGAAGATATATCTAGACAATCATACCAAAATAGGATACATGTGCAGCATGTCAGATAAAAGCAGACTGGTTTTTATAATGTACGTTTTCATTGCATAGCAGAGGCTTCATGAATAGTGTCCATTCATGTGCCTTTATAAAAGTATTTATGGAATGTTTTCTTATTTGCTTATTGCATTTGTAGTATAGCACAGAAGTAAAATCAGTTGACAGTATAATAACATTGTACTGCCTTTGGAGGAGGAGCCAGTAGTTTGGAGATCTCTTTTATATCAGGCATATGCTGACATATACAGTTAAATATTAAAGTACAGGAAAGCTTTGTTTAAATGAATATCCTGGCTTTTAGGGCTATTTCTTATATAGAGGCCCCGAGGATTAGGCATATGCTTTTAGAAGTTAGTGTAAAGATTGAGATTGAATCTGAGTAACTTTTTCCCTTTTTTTTTTTTAAACAGCTGTCATTATAGGAATTCTTCACTGGTATGTATATCTGTAACAGAGGGCCACAGCAGACAACTATGTTTCTCTGTCAAGGTCCAAGTACAGTTGTTGTCTCTCTGTGCTTAAACCTTAGGCTTGGGTAAACAATTCTTCTGTTCCTAAAGGCAGTGTATGGTGGTAGCCTCCTGTCCCAGAATTCCTCACTTTTTTGTTTCGCAAATGCACCTCACTCCTCTGTGATAGTCATTCGTCGGTGGATGCATGTACAGTGGGGTCTTGACTTGAGAACTTAATCCGTATTGGAAGGCGGTTCTCAAGTCAAAAAGTCTGTATGTCAAGTCTCCATTGACCTACAGTGCATTGAAAACCGATTAATCCCGTAACAGGCCGTTTTTGTTCCATTTTGGTTTTTTTCTGGTCTGTAAGTCAAATCTCAGTCTGCAGGTCAAACCTAAATTTTGCAGCCAGAGAAGTCTGTAACTCAAAAAGTCTGTAAGTCAAGCCGTCTGTAAGTCAAGGGTCCACTGTACATGACGCAGGTAGAGGGTAGTGTTTGGGGTCCCTATTTCTGCTTTAAGCATACAAGAAAAAAATGCATGTCTTTCAAGACAGGCCAAACTGCTGTAGAATAAGTTTTGATGGGCTGGGCAAACTGTTAAGGGTCTTATTTTTTCTTTTCACCGGCTTTCTTCAGGTAGAAATGGGGTCATATCAGGAAGAAGTTCAGTTGGTGGATTTCGTAGAGTGAGAAACAAATGCTTTCTAGTTTTCCTTATATATCACTGATAGAGCTGAGACTTCAAGATGAAGAATCTATTTAAGATTCTTTAGTCTCCAGTTGTTTTAACTAATCCTCTTCAAACAACTGCAGTGGCAGGTGTTCGGTTGTTAAAATGAATCTTAGTAGTACAAATGCAGGGTGGGGAGAATCTGAGGAGAAACGTCTTCCTGCTGGCCTGTACACTACCTGTAGTACTAAGCACAGTTATACTAGGTGAGTGAATGGTCTGGGAGAGTTGGAACAGAGGGCTCTATCTCTCCTCCAGCAGGTCTCTGCTGTCTTGTGCTGGATGCATAGAAAAAAGCATCATTCTGTTTCCAATAGAGAAACCAAATGATTTTCTTGGAGAGAGGTGGAGCACATTATCCCTTAAGTAGCCCATATGAAGAAGCTGCATTTTCTGCAACCAGTGTACTGTATAAAAAAACTGCACTTAGGAAGGAAAGGTATAACAATCTGTTCCTTCTCTCCAGTTTTCAAGATACACTGGTAAAAACAAGAATTGTGAACCAATAGTTATTTTGTGCTTTACTTACAAAGAAGTTAAAGTGTAATGTTGGGATCAGTTTGTCTTCAGATTTATTTTTTTCTTGTGTTTTTTTGTATAGGTACTATATATCAACTCTCTTTGAAAATGACCGCCATTTTTCTCATCTTTCAGCTCTGGAAAAAGAAATGTCTTTCAGAACCGAAATGGTTAGAGTTTATATTGTACTTTAAGTGGAATTATTACTTTTAAACTTGTTAACCATCAGTTGTTTTCCAAATCCTTTGTAGCAAGGTGAATCAAGCCAGGATGCAAACTAGGAATGTAAGAGATGTTAGGATATCATATTTAGTGTTATTTTTTGTGAACTGCCATGAATGTGGCTTTCTGAATCAAATAGGATTTCAAACATTCATTTATATGATACAGTAAAATTAAGTGAATGGATTTCAGAATAACTGTTTTGTTTAGTCAACCATGAAACAACTTACCTGGAATATGAAGATGTGGCTTTCTGGATCAAATAGGATTTCAAACATTCTTTTATATGATACAGTAAAATTAAGTGAATGGATTTCAGAATAACTGTTTTGTTTAGTCAACCATGAAACAACTTACCTGGAATATGAAGATGTGTGCTTATGAGGTTAATTCAATTTTTCCCATTTCTTTTATTTAAAAAAAGTAAACAGTTTTCATGAATATCTTTGTTGTTGGAGAATACTGGAATATATGCTGTATGTCTGAAATTAGAGCACCTATTCTGTGTATTTGTTTGTTTGTTTGATTGATTTATATACAGCCCATTTGGTGGCCAAGGCCACTCTAGGCAGTTTACAACAATGGACAGAAACAATAAAATAACAAAATAAGACAACATCAGAAATTCATGTCTGTATCATGTCTCTATTATTTAGACATGTGCAACAACAAACAACAACCTCTTAGAACTGTAGAGCTGGTTAGCACTGTGCTACAGTGTATGTCAGGAAATCATTCTATCTCATATATAAAATAAGTACATTGGATTGGATTGTAACTTAGTCATACCTAAGAATTGTTCTTGTCGTTTAGTCGTGTCCGACTCTTCATGACCCCATGGACCAGAGCATGCCAGGCCCTCCTGTCTTCCACTGCCTCCCAGAGGTGGGTCAAATTCATGTTGGTAGCTTCGGTGACACTGTCCAACCATCTCGTCCTCTGTCGTCCCCTTCTCCTCTTTCCTTCACACTTTCCTAACATCAGCGTCTTCTCCAGGGAATCTTCTCATGAGATGGCAAAAGTATTGAAGCCTCAACTTCAGGATCTGTCATTCCAGTGGGCACTCAGGGTTGATTTCCTTCAGAATGGATAGGTTTGTTCTCCTTGCAGTCCAGGGGACTCTCAAGAGTCTCCTCCAACACCACAACTCAAAAGCATCAATTCTTCGGCAGTCAGCTTTCTTTATGGTCCAGCTCTCACTTCCATAAATCGCTACTGGAAAAACCATAGCATTGACTATGTGGATCTTTCTCTGCAAGGTGATGTCTCTGCTTTTTAAGATGCTGTCTAGATTTGTCATTGCTTTCCTCCCAAGAAACAGGTGTCTTTTAATTCTGTGGCTGCTGTCAGTATCTGCAGTGATCATGGAGCCCAAGAAAGTAAAATCTGCCACTGTCTCCATATCTTCCCCTTCTATTTGCCAGGAGGTGATGGGGCCAGTGACCATGATCTTACTTTTTTGATGTTGAACTTCAGACCATTTTTTGCACTGTCCTCTTTCACCCTCATTACAAGGTTCTTTAATTCCTTCTCACTTTCTGCCATCAGAATGGTATCATCTGCATATTGGGGGTGGTTGATATTTCCTCTGGCAATCTTAATTCCAGTTTGGGATTCCTCCAGTCCAGCCTTTCGCATTATGTATTCTGCATATAAGTTAAATAAACCGGGGGACAATAAACAGCCTTGTCATACTTCTTTCCCAATTTTGTCCATTTTAGTTCACTGACACCCAGGATGTCAATGTTTATTCTTGCCATCTCCTGTTTGACCACATCCAGCTTACCAAGGTTCATAGATCTTACATTCCAGGTTCCTATGCAGTATTTTTCTTTGCAGCATCGGACTTTCCTTTCACTTTCAGGCACCTCCACAGCTGATTGTCCTTTCGGGTTTGGCCCAAGCACTTCATTAGCTCTGGAGCTACTTGTACTTGTCCTCCGCTCCTCCTCAGTAACATGTTGGACACTTTCAGACCTGAGGGGCCATCTTCCAGCATCATATCTTTTAGCCTTTTGTTTCTGTTCATGGGGTATTCTTGGCAACGATACTGGAGTGGCTTGCCACTTCCTGCTCCAGGTGGATCGCGTTTAGTCAGAACTCTCCATTATGACCTGTCCGTCTTGGGTATCTCTGCACAGCATAGCCCATAGCTTCTCTGAATTACTCAAGACCCTTCACCACGACAAGGCAGCAGTCCATGAAGAGGACCTAAGAATTAACTATTCAAAATTGTTTGTCAGTGACTTAGGCTATCAGACAAAATAATTAGTTGGATTGAGATAGACAGTGTAAAAAGTGCATTAGTTGTGTAGGGTTAGGAGCAATCACAAGCCTACAGTGGGGTCTTGACTTGAGAACTTAATCCGTATTGGAAGGTGGTTCTCAAGTCAAAAAAGAATTAACTATTCAGAATTGTTTGTCAGTGACTTAGGCTATCAGACAAAATAATTAGTTGGATTGAGATAGACAGTGTAAAAAGTGCATTAGTTGTGTAGGGTTAGGAGCAATCACAAGCCTATTCTGTGGGCTGATCTTGGAATGGCAGAACTGCTTTGCTGGCTAAATTTTGTTGGCAGAAGAGTTAAAAAAATAGGATGGAGAAAGGGTGTCGTGAGGGAGGAGTCGAATAAGACCATATCCAGTCCTATTTTAGTCTAGGGACATAGCTACAATACCAACACAGTGTTATGCTGGAGTGAGAATAGTTTTCAATAATTTCCAGATCTTGTAATGTTGGTACAAAATGTCTCTAGTTACAATTTTAGTTAGAGGACCCAAAGCCTAATATGAGTTAGATTAACATTCATGAGTGAAGTTTTTAATTTATTAAATTACAGTGGACCCTCGACTTACAGATGGCTCGACTTACAGACTTTTTGAGTTACAGACTTCTCTGGCTGCAAAATTTAGGTTTGACTTGCAGCCGGAGAATCTACCTACAGACCAGAAAAAAACCAAAATGAAACAAAAATGGCCGGTTACGGATTAATCAGTTTTCAATGCATTGTAGATCAATGGAGATTTGACCTACAGACTTTTCGACCTGCAGCCACCATTTCAATACGGATTAATTCTGTAAGTAGAGGGTCCACTGTAAACATTAAGTTATTTGATTTTAAACTCTAGGAGAAATTGGCATGTGTTACTGTAATTGACATCATTCTTCTTAGGGGCATTTTGTTGTTTACTCCATTGAGTTGGCCCCTTTTCAGTTTAAATTGACTCCTCCAGGTGACCTTTTTAGGTGCATTCTCGAAGGCTTTCATGGCTGGGATCTGATGGTTGTTGTGGGCTTTCTGGGCTGTTTGGCTGTGTTCTTAAGGTTTTTCTTCCTAATGTTTCACCAGTCTCTGTGGCCGGCATCTTCAAAGGACAGGAGTACACCAGAGCACAGACAGAGTTCTGACTCCTGTCCTCTGAAGATGCTGGCCACAGAGACTGGTGAAACGATAGGAAGAAAAACCTTCAGAACATGGCCAAAGAGCCTGAAAAACCCACAACCATCTTTTTAGGTGCCTTTTGACTAGAAGTTCCATAATTGAGTTACAGGTTCAGTGGGACTGAAGTTAATACATATAACCAGGTAGTTATAATTAGTAGCTTTTTTGCTATTAAAATAGTTGTTGTGAGGGATCTTTGCTGATTAGCATCACTTAAATTTATACTCCAGGGTCTTTATTACTCCTATTTCAAGACCATCATTGAAGCACCATCCTTTTTTAATGGTGTCTGGATGATAATGAATGACAATCTGACTGAATATCCTGCTACAATCAATACACTGAAGAGGTTTAATCTCTATCCAGAGGTAAGTCTTTTTTAAATGTAGTACTGCTTTTGTCTGAAGCTTAATTCCATCATGTAATGGAATACATAAATCTTATTTAAATGAATGATACTTTCTGTACAGAATGAAACACCCTTTCTGAAGAATAAGCATAGAATCAGTGGGGTTTCTAACAGATGTATTCAGAACAATGGTGGTCTTCTCAGTCTTAGCTAGTTCTGCCACTGGTGAGGGACAATGGGAACTGCACTCTAGCAGCATCTAGAGGCCACTTGAAAGAAACACTCTATAGTAAGCTTGTCCTCCCTCCAGTGCAAAGAATAATATTAGTGTCATTTCTGGTTCCTGTTTTGCAGTTCTGCCTAGGGAGCAAGAATAATATCATTTTTGTTTTGGAGTGGGCATGGCTTGCATACAATAAGACAAAGTCAGTTTGGCATCCTAAAATTGAAGAAAATTTATACTCAGCGGCAGTTTGCTGCTGCTAACATTCCTGTTGCACAGGTGGAAGCTGTCTTACAGGATTTCAGCTAGCGTTTATTCCTCATTCAAAAAGTGGTGGTGTAAATCCACCCCATGTCCTTGCTTTCCTTACATAGAAAGTGGTTGACTTGAAAAGGAGATGTTTCGTTTTGCACTGAGTTTTTTTTCCATATGGGCAAGATCCCTGATTTTTCAAGATTCTTCCTTGCACAGACTGCCTCCAGGAGAGCAGATGTTTCTTTTCAAACATTCTTTTCTATGTTATGTAAGAGACAACTGAAGCAGATGTGACCAGGAACTCCTATGGTTATGTGTTGAAGAAGGTAAAGGTTGTAATACCTGCATAAACTAATGTGCTGTGAGTAAAAGCTGAGCACGTTCATGTCAGAACCTAGATGAATTTTTCTTCGGGATCAGAAGAGAGGGCTGAATGTACGATTGCCATTTTTACTACCACCTAGTCTTCTGGGCAATGCCTGACTCAATATCATTAAAAAAAAAGGCCTGGAGTACACTATTTGTGTGTACTGTATGTGTGTGCCTTTGTGTGGTATAGTATGATCATGTTACAAATACTGGAAAGTTAAAATGAGGTGTCTTGAGAGACAATAGTACAGTGATGCCTTGACTTATGAACTTAATCCGTATCGGAATGACGCTTGTAAGTCAAAATGTTTGTAGATCAAAGCACCATTTCCCATTGAAATGCATGGGAATGGGATTAATCCGTTCCAGCATTTCAAATAATAATAATAAAAATAAAAATAAACAGAGCAAGTCCCACTCTGGGACTACAAAAAAACCCACACACAAATCCAAAAACAAAACAACAATAACACCTCCCCAGTCCAAACCCACCCTCCAAAACCAGCCCAGAACAGTTTTTTAAAAAAGAAAAGGACCTTACATCCACAGCTGCCTGGCCTGGGCTCTGCCGCTGCTGGCCAGCCGGGATGGATCCTCGCCTCCCAGCCAGGCTCTTATTCTCGGCGTGGGGTCCGTCCGCGCTGCTCGCTTCCCAGCCAGGCTCTGCTTCCTGAAGCCTGGCCAGGAAGCAGACCCCGCGCCAGGAGGCAGGAGCCTAGGAAATTCAAATGGCCTCCTGGCTGGGTTCCTATCCCGGCATGGGGTCCGTCCATGGTGCTCGCTTCCCAGCCGGGCTCTGGTTCCTGGAGCCCAGCCTGGAAGTGAGCAGCGTGGACAGACCCTGCAGTTTTGGCTCCACTGGGCCTGTGTGGGGGTACAGGAAGGCTGGAAAGGGTCTGGGAGGGCAAGGGGGTGGTGGTTTTAACTCCAGTGGGCCTGTGCGGGGGTGGAGGAAGGCTGGGAAGGGTAGCCAGCCGAGAAGCAAGCAGTGTGGACAGACCCTGTGGTTTTGGTCTTGCTGGGCCCGCGCAGGGGTGCAGGAAGGCTGGGAAGGTTCCGGGATGGTCAAAACAGCCACCCCTTGCCCTCCCGGACACTTCCCAACCTCCCTCCACTGCAGCACGGGCCCTACGGGGCCAAAATTGCCACCCACCCTTGCCCACCCGGACCCTTTCCAGCCTCCCTCCACCGCAGCGTGGGCCCGCTGGGGCTGAAATTGCCACCCCTGTAGCCCTCCAGGAGCCTACCTGGCCTTCCTCCGCCACCTTTTCCTAACTGTTGGGGCGAAACAGCTACCAAGAAGCAGCATCTTTCGCCACCTACAGTTAGAAATTTGAATTTCCCGCCCTTTTCCCCTGCCATTTTTCTGTTCGTAGATCAAAGCTTCGGCCGCAAGTCAAAGCAGAATCTTGTGGCCGGAGCTGTCTGTATGTCAAATTGTTCGCAGGTCAGGGCGTTCGTAAGTCAAGGCACCACTGTATCTTACTCAAGCCGGATAGAGTGGAACCTCTACTTACGAACGTCCTTATCTACGAACATTTCAACTTACGAACAGCTCCATTTGCAAAATTTTGCTTTTACAGTGGTGCCTCGCATAGCGAACGCTTCGCTATGCGATGAATCCACACAACGATGGGTCCTGGGCCATCGCTGGAGCGTTCGCTCAGCGATGGCCCCTATGGGCTTTTTTCGCTATGCGATGATCGCGCGGACGCGATCAAAGCATAGCGAACAGCTGATCGGCGGTTCCAAAATGGCCGCCGCTAAAACAAAATGGCGACCGCTGTTTTGCCTCGCTAACGAGGCATTCAAAATGGCCGCCGCAATGGAGAAAACTCGCAGAACGGTGAGTTTTAAGTCCATAGGAACGTATTAAATCAGTTTTAATACGTTCCTATGGACTTTTTTGTTTCACTTAACGATGGATTCGCTGAGCGAGGGTTAATCTGGAACGGATTAACCTCGCTAAGCGAGGCACCACTGCACTTGCAAATGGAGCTTCAATGTACTAACGAGAAAAACACGGGGGAGGCATGGAAAGCACAAAATTTGAACTTTCAGTTAACTGTTGGCCAGGGAAGAGGGTGCTTGTCTGCTGCCTCGCTCGTCCAAGGGGTTAGAGAGTGGATAGGGAGAGAGTCTTCAGACTGCCTGATACTGCCTGGTACGGTACTGTACGGACTGTATTTTGGGGGCTTTTTTAAATTTTTGATTTTTGGGTTTTTGACTATCTTTTTAAAACAGACTGCCTGTTCTGGGTGAGTACACTGTATTTACTATACTGTACAGGGGTTTTTGCAGCTTGGGGGGTAGGGGGTTATGTTTGTGTGCTCTGATGGGTCGCAGTGTAGATTTTAGTTTTAAAATTTGTGGTTAAAATATGGCTTTGAAGTCTGTTTTAAAATCAGAAAATATTCTGTGAGGGGCTGTGGTGGTTGTAGATGTAGGCAGGCAGGCTTTAAAATGGAGTTTAGACTCAGGTGTCCCCCTCCCCAATGCTCTCCTTTTGTGATGAGGAGTCCTGTGTTGGAATAATGGTTGCTGATTGTTGGTGCAAGAAGGCTTTAAAATGGAGTTTAGGCTCAACTCTCTACCTCCCCCCCTTGTTTAGACTCCATAATCTTTTTTTCTTAAAATCAGAAAATATTCTGTGAGGGGCTGTGCTGGCTGTTGATGCAGCCAAACTGTAAAATGCAGTTTAGACTCTCTTTTTGTGATGAGGACTTCTGTACTGGAATAATGCTTGCTGGATTCTGTGGCTTTTTTAAAGGTGTTCTGTTTAAAAAGCGTTCTCCTGTCTTTTTTTAACATAAAAGGTGCTTGGTTTTGTTTAAAAGGTGCTTGTTTTTAAAGGTGTTCTATTTAGAAGGTGTTCCCTCCCGCCTTTCCTGCCCTTTTTTTGACCTAGGTTCATCTTAGGTCAAAAGAAGAAAAATTCTCCCCCTAGTGGTAGAGGACGGATTAACCGGCTTTGCATTAGTTCCTATGGGAACTAATGCTTCAACTTATGAACGGCACCTCTGCATAAGCAGCAAAAACAGCTGGAACGGATTAATCGGTTTTCAGTGCATTCCTATGGGAACTTTTGCTTCTACTTACGAACGTTTGAACTAACGAACATCTTCTGGGGCGGATTAAGTTCATAAGTAGAGGTTCCAGTGTATTAGTGAATAACCACATATCAGCCTCTTTAGTCAGTGAGATAATATTATGCAGAGTTCCTCTTCTGAAGTTATAATCCTATTTTCTGCACAGATTGTACTTGCAAACTGGTACCGCATGTATACGGGAATAATGGATGCTGCTGGTATTAAGACACAACACTGTTGGAATGTGAATAGGGGAGAAGATATCAGCCCAGTGGAAAGCTGCGAAGGTGGGTGTTGCTTCTTGTGTGTTTTGGATGTTAAACAATCCATAGTGTGAAATGATAGCACATGGTTTACCAAGGCCCTTTTCTTATTTTTTTTTAAATGCAGGTTTTTATTGTATTTTTATAACCCAGTTATCAATACAACCACATATATTTAACAGTCCAAATAATACAATCCAGTCCTGTAGTCTGGAGTCTCCAAACTCTGGCCCACCTTGCCGTTTTATCCAGTCCAGCTGGTGGGTAGGTGGGTGGGAGTGTGAGCAGGTAGGTGGGAGTACGCATGTACGTGCACATTTTCTTTCAACCCTCAAAAATGTGGAACATATATGATGTGGCCCTCCAGCTGAAACTTTTGGAGACCCCTGCTGTAGTCCCTTGATAGATCCATTCTATCAAACTTAAACGACAATGGGCTAGCATTCCAGATGACTTTTCAAAATGTCATCCTCTCTATTTGATTCTGAACAAAAAACTAACAAAGAGTGCCAAGTTTTAATTAAATAATCTTTTTTTATTTCTCTTTTTGAGATGAGTAGTCAATATTTCATTTGTGCTGTTGCCCATATTCTGTCCAGATACCTTTGGAAGTAGAATCTTTGAGCATTTTCCCATCTTCGGGCAGTTCCGTTCTTACAGCCTGTACAAGAATTGCCAGCAACTCTTTCTCAACTAAATTATCATTCTCTCCAATAAATAATGAACACAATAGTAAATTTTCATTAGGAGCTATTTCCTATTACATTAGCTTGCTCAACCATTCTTTTATACAATGCCAGAATGATTTAACTTTCAGACAGGAGATCCACATTTATTTCAGTGATCCTTTGGAACCACAATTTCTCCAACACATGTCTGGTATATCCTTATTGATTTTAGGAAGTTTGATAGGATGCAAATGCCATTCCATGAACTGTCTTAATACCATTTCCTTAGACTTGATCACTACTGATTTATAAGAGTGTGTAGTCATTACTTTTTTCAAGAATCTTCTGATATAGCAATATTTAGTTTCATTTCTCAAACTGCCTTAACTCCCATATAATTATCACAGTCTTCATTATTAATGGTTTTATAAATTACTGAGATGAATCCTCTTTTTAAAATTAAAATCATTTTCTATACAATAGGTTTTTAGTATTGTGAGCTCTAATAGAACCTGATGTATTGGGCAGGAGATTTTTTTATTTGATTTAATAGGAGCCAATTAGTATTTATTTGAGAAGTTTTTTCTTTTAATTGAAATTGGTTGTCCTCTTATATAAAGTTATATAAATTCCAATTTCTTCCCAGTGTTTAAATTGTGCATCCTTATTTTGAAATTTAAAATTAGGATGTTTCAGAACTGGAAATACTGGAGACGCCAAGACATTCATATATTTATGCCATATGTACAAATTAATTCATTAGTAAAAGGATTCTGTAATTTAGCCCTATTTCTTGGCAGTTCAGCTATGTGTAAGAGTTGACAGCACAGATATCCCCAGGTCCTTCCAGTTGAGTCTAGTACAGGGTCTTGTTCATTTTTTTAACAGCCTGGGCTGTTTGAAAAGCTTTATAATAATTTGATAAGAATGATATAGCCAATCCCTCTCTTATGGTTGGTCTATATTTTACACTATTTATAAATCTTAGGGTTATACCATTCCCTCCTATAAATGTTTCTAATTTATTTTTTTGCCAGAACTTAATTTTTTTTCATTTCCTATTTGAAAGGTACATTTTTGAATAGAAATAAAATTCTGGTAATATAAGAGTTCACAAGTCTACCTAACAAAGATTTTTTTCTTTTGTGGAAGTAAAGATAGTCTTATAATTTTTTAATGTTTGGTTTTATAATTTTTGCTGGACAGATTCTTTGATATTAAAAACTAGAATAGCAAAGTTCTAGTTTAGGCATTGTTTAATTTCTTTTTATTCTCAAGGAGCATTTACACTGCGGTTTAGATTTCTATGGTTGATTTTTTTATCCTGTATGCAGGGTGGATTTGATTTAAATCACATTGATTTAAATAGTGATTTAAATTGATTTTAAAAATAATAATTTGTATCTGACTGTATGGCAGTTGATGTTTTTCAATATTTGTTTTGATGGTGCTATGTTTTTAAATAGATGCTTAAACAAGAAAAGCATGTTGTCAGTGTTTGAATGACCAGAGTGAATATTATAGGGCAGTGGTGGCAAACCTTTTTGGGCCCGAGTGCCCAAACTGAAAAACAAAACAAAACTCGCGGGTGGCGGCGAAACCTAAAGTGGCAGTGGAAGGAGGTACCTTCAGACCCCACTTAGGATCCGTCGCCAGCACTAGCTGCTCTGGATCCTGGCCCGCCACCTGTAGAAGTGCCAGCACCGCAACTCCAGCCGCCTCCTTAGGTTTGATTGGAGGGGGGGAGTAGTGATCCAGTGACTTATGGTTTGCGTGCAGAAATGGCTCTGCATGCCAGCTGTGGCACGCGTACCATAGGTTTGCCATCGCTGTTATAGGGGATGAAGGATCACCTTGTCTTGTTCACCTATGTAACTCAGATTTCTCAGATTCTGCTTCATTAATCATAACTGTGGCATGTGCCTCTTCATACAGAGTTTTTTAGAACTATACTAAATATTTCACTCATATTCATCTTTTCCATAAGGTCAAATATACCTCCATCCCACACTATCAGATGCTTTTAGTGCATCAAGTGAAAGTATTTCCACTTTCTGTTTCTTTAGTGTAGCTATATGTAGAGTAATACTCTATAAATTGCATCAGACATTTGCCTACCTGGCATAAAGCTATATTGATCTGTTTGGGTGTCGCTTATAATAAACTATTCAACCTCTGTCCCAAGATAGATGAGAAAATCTTTTGATCTTGATTTTCTAACGTAATTGGCTTATATGCAGATGGGAGAGTAAGATCTTTTTCAGATTTGGGGATAGATATTATTCTAGCTAATTTCCAGAACTCAGATATTTTCTCTCCAGTTAATATATTATTCATTTTTAAAAGGTGTGTGGTAGAAAAATCTTAGATCTACAAGCTGTGAAGCCTTGGTGTTTTCTCTTTGAGTTTTTTAATAGCTGTTTTTATTTCAGTAAGAGTTATTGGAGAATTAGGTTGAAGTTTATGCACTTCTGAGATTGAGGTAATTGAAAACAAGTTTAGAAATGTTTTAATAACTATATCTGATATTGTTTCTGTTGCATGCAGTTCTTTGTATTCCTTAAAAGTTGTAGATAACTGGCACTGTGATGTTATCATTATCTTATGTATGTTTTTATAGAAGCAATTTTTTAACAGCCTCCTGTTTACTGCATATGATAAAAAAGTAGGGTTTTTATTTCCATATTCATAATAGTTCCTCCTTAAATAGTTCATTGCTGCTTGGGTTTTTGTGAGCCTGCCCCAGTTGCAACTGGCTGGCATAATGGGCGGACTACTTTGTCCAGCATGGCAGGTGCACTTTCTCAGTGTGCTACACATGGATCCTGGAGTGAGACTAGGGAGAACACAACTGTGGGGATGGCTGAGCTAGAGATAAAAGGCAAGTCAGAAGACTCAGAAGGGGAAGAGCATTGGCAAGATGCTGAAGACTGGGCTGCGGTCGAGGGATCTGGCTGCAAAGGGATCTAGCTGCAGCGCCTAAAGAAACTGACAGGGTAAGACGAGACAGGGCAAGACTCCAAGAGCCAAGGCACCTGGAAAACTAGAGAGATGCTGGGTGCTGCTGGGGACAAACACAGGCAAAGTCCCCTGCTGTCCTGTCTTGAGCCCTGATTCTCCAGTTACCACACTCAGCCTGGTTTCTGCCTCCATGCCCTGCACCCAACCATCTCCTGAAGCAATTTCTGCATTGCCTTTGGTTGTGGTGCCCTCGAGGGGGTAAATAGGAATGTTCCTCCTGTCAGGGACCAAGGACTAGGGGTTTGGCTTCAGAAGATCAGTGTGCCTCCTGCCTGCAAAGTCCTGGTGGTTTTCCTTCAGAGACATTCTGAACAAGCTGGACTTAATAACTTTGGGAGTGAAGTAACTCACTGGCACCCATAAAACTGTGTTGACATGTTGGACTTGGGCCATTGGAGGAGCTGGATCTAGTTGGGGACTTGTCTACTTGCCCAGGAGGGCCTGAGTCCACAAGGCCTTCTTCCTTCCCTTGCCCAACAGAGCCTGGTCTGATAAGAACTGTGTTGAGCCTGGCCCGGAGGGGCCTGATCCTGCTAAGAACTATTCTGTTAGCAGCCCAGGAGGTCCTAGGTCTGCAAAGGGCTACATATCCACTGCCTGTCATGGCCTGGGTAAGCCAAAGGGTATTTCTGTTCAAAGTTAAGCTGGATCCAATTCTGTAAAAGACTTTTGGTGCAAGTTATTTTCTCCCTTTCCTCACTTTAGTAAAGCTTCTCATCTGCAAAGACACTCTCTCTTCATGGCAGGAGTGGCTCACAGTTTTGCTCGTATATAAGTTTTCTGGTTCTGCTTTCGTTCTTGTCAATTCAGTGTATATTTTATTAGAGACTGATTTTATGTTCCTCTGATAGTCTCTTTATTTTAGCTTCTAACTGTTCTTGCAACCCATTTCTCTTTTTTTCTTCTTGATCTATTATACATTTCTGTCTTCTTGTGTGGCCTAATCATACTTAGAGGTTCATTAGTGGAGTCGTGGCAGGACAATGGATTGGGAGTGAGGTAGCAAAAATCATTTATTCCACACAGAGGTACACTCAGTACAATACCAAGATGTACAAAGACAAAGGAGTTTGCCTACAGCTTTTATAGTATATTTGGACAGGAGGGAGAAGGATAGCAACAATTCCACCAATCAGCAATTTAGAGGTGTTTCATCTCTTTACCAGTCATGAAGCTGCATTTAGAAAGTTGGCTAGTAAAGCAGGTATGTCCTGGTGGGCTTCAGACTTGCAGGTGATGGAATGAGGAAGGCCATGGAATGGGGAAGTGTTTGCCTCAAACTACCCATTTATCATTTGTTTCATTCAAAAACTTGATGTCTGTTTTTAATTTTCTCAATGATTTGTGGGTTTGAATATGCTACAACTTAGCTTCCAAATCTTAGGCTTCATTGGAATATTATTAGCCCACTGGACTTTCATTAGTGCATGGTCAGATGTTAATATAGGAGCAAAATCTACCTTAGCTAATAGTGGTGCAAGTGATTCTGAAATAAATATGTGGTCTATCTTTGAATAAGTTAAATATTTGGGGCGGTGGGGGGAAATGTGGTCTCTACCATTTGGATTTAATCCACCCATCAATTAAACCTTCCTTTGTCAGTAAGTTTCCAATTCTAGCAGACATTTTCCTAGTTTTTGATTATGTATCCCTTTTTATATTCAAAACACAATATCTCCTCTCAGGACAATTTCTCCTCATGTAAACTGCCTAGCCTTTCTTAAAAGTTTCCATAGATTTTGCCTTGCCTGTATGAGCTAATAGTTATAAACCTTCCTTTGTCAGTAAGTTTCCGATTCTAGCAGACATTTTCCTAGTTTTTGATTATGTATCCCTTTAAAACACAATATCTCCTCCCAGGACAATTTCTCCTCATGTAAACTGCCTAGCCTTTCTCAGAAGAGTTTCCATAGATTTTGCCTTGCCTGTATGAGCTAATAGTTATATCAATCTATTTCCTACTCTCCCTGTTACCAATATATATCTGTCATCAAGATAGCTGATCTACCACTTAAAATTTAGAAATTTTCAGGAAAATTGTTGCTGCCTGCCTAGATTTGTTTGTTCCTTTTGCACTAAATTGCTCTCCTAGAGATGGATGCTTTATAATATATTGCCCTAGCTTTTTATGATGTGTTTCTTGTAGTAATAACAAGTCAATACCCAACTTATGAATAGTCTGCATAATTCTGCATTGTTTTGATGGGGAACCCAAACCATTTGTGTTGAAAGAAATTATATTTAAGTTGTCTAACCCATTAAATTTGTTAACTGTGCTCATCTTAAGTAGAGTATATTAAATGATATTAACTGCTTGTACTGCAAAACAGAATTGTCTGCATAACCTTCTTCTTCTCCCCTCTACCCCCTCTTCCTTCCTCATTCTCCACAACCTGCATCTTTTCTCCCTTCTTCCCCCACTCAACTGATGGCATTGAGGTCACTTAGCCTCCAGCTCACTAAAATGAACTGTTCCATATGGGTTGCAGTTGTTGGACCAAGAACTGCTACTCCTATAACAAAAGTTCATTACTCTCCCGGCCTGCATTTTAGTATATAGATATATAAATATAATGACCTTTTAAATGTCTTACAACTATGTGGTAACCATATAAGCTATTTTTTAACAATATAAATGTGATTTAGTTTACAGTCCTTCCAAGTGTTTTCTTCACTCTTAAAATTAGTCCAGCAAAGTAGTGTGACATTATAGCTGGATTGCTTATCATCTTCTGCCAGACGAAGCCTGCTTATAATATACTATTAAATGTGAAACCCAGCAAATAGATAATATTTACAAATAAATGTGAAAATGAAAAAATCAAAGAAGATGGCATGACAAAGTAGATGGGATACCTCTTCAGAAGCAGAAGATCAAAGTGATTTGGTACAGTCTTTGGAGGACCCTGAAATGGTGATGGGTAAGATGAAAGGGAGGGACAAAAGAAAATCAAATTAGCTAGTGAGCTCAATGAAGATATGAGACAGCTTTTAAAACAAATAAATGCAAACAGATATGAAAGCTCCATTAATGTGATTGAAAGAAGCAGTGCCAGAAATAAAGACTAACATTAAACAAATAGGGAAGACTGTTAATGATGTTTTTGAGCTAGCCCAGCATTGTCAGATTCAAAGTGATGTTACGGAAAATGAATTAAGAATATTGAAAGATAAAGTTATGAATGAAAAAAAACGTAATTACTGTTGAATCTTACATATAAGGAATTTTAAAGAAGGGGAAAGAAGAGAGGACTTGAGAGATATGGTCTTGAAATGGATTTGAAACCTCTGTCTGGATTTAAAGATTATGTCAGAAAATTCAGAAAGAGTTCACACAGTTGGGTCCTAAGCAAGAAACATGATGACAAGATATTATAAGATTCACTCGTTATACAGTGAAATTAACAGTGCACCTTGCATTAAACAACATAAAAGAATTGATGTACTAAATTTTGTGGCCAGAGAAGTCTGTAACTCAAAAAGTCTGTAAGTCAAGCCATCTGTAAGTCAAGGGTCCACTGTACAGTGAAATTAACAGTGCACCATGCATTAAACAACATAAAAGAATTGATGTATGAAGGAGACAAGACTGAAATCTTCTAGGACTTGGCTGTTGAAACCATTAGGAAGCGCAGACAGTGGAAGCTGTTTGCTGAGGCACTTTGGAACCAAGATATGTCTGAGGCTTTTTCTTCAAATTGATCACATGGCTTGGATGTAAAGCTAAGGTTATTTCATCACTTTGGAAACTCAGAATCATAAAAATGGAATGAATTGGCGTGAACATGATGTCCCCTTTAATATTTATTGTAGCAATAGACATAGTGGAATAATATCTTCAGAGCAGAAACTATACTTTCCTGCTCCAAAGCCCTTGACAGAAGTCACTGTGGATGAGTAATCTGGATTAATTCCCTCTTGCAATAGTTGGAGTGGCTTTTTCTATGTGTGTGGCAAGGTCACTCACTGGCTTGGAGACACATCTTTCTCTTCACTTCCTGTATTTAGCTCAGACTATTTTGGCTGACAGCATCTTTTAGCAATCCATGAAAGTTGGGGTAGATAGGGTAAGGAGAAAGACCTGTGCCTTGCCAGATTCCTGCTTAGAGAATTAGCTTTCTTCATACTTTTTATATTTGAGTAGTTGGATGGGTGGCAAATCAGGGTCGTGCATCTAGATCTGTTTTTGTTTTCTCTTCACGTCTATACAGTATTGCAGTCTCTTAAATGTAGAAACAACAAAGTGTAATTCTTGACAGATTTATTTTTTTATATCATATGTGCACTATATGTAGTGTTTACATAATTCTATTCCCCTTGGGCTAAATCAGATATTAATCTTGACTACAGTCATTAAATCATTGGGGTTTAAACATTTGTTCAACAAATACTCTTCATCCAGTGAATCCGCTCAGCTTGGAAACTAGCCCCTTGTATCCATGTTTTTCTGGATTAACAGCTGTCATCATTGTAACTGCCTGAACCAAGAATATTAACAAATACGCAATGTGAAAGTGGGGAAATGGTCTCAGTGAGCTTAACTCTCTTTATTCACATGACTGAGATGAAAATTTACAAATGTTAGACGAGTGAAAATTATTGATTTTAAAAACTAGAGCACAAAATAGTGATTTTAATTTAATGTTATTTGGTATTTGGTAGGTTTGGGAGACCCTGCTTCTTTTTATGTGGCTATAGTGTTTCTTCTGAATGGATTAATGGTATCGGTGTTTTTCCTATATGGTACATATCTCAGGTAAGATGCAGAAAAAGAAATGCTTAGTTTGGTAAATTAATATTTGCTGGTATTTAAGTTCTTAAATATATACTGCATGTTGGAAAATATGTGTCTTTCTCTTTGCTGCTTCTCAAGCACTGTAGTTCAGCATGACAGTGATTACAGTTTCTTAGAATTTATTCCTATGGTTCTGTTGCAATGTAATCCTAAGTGGGGCCAGGGATTTGCTGGTTTGCTTGCAAGCCAGGGTAGAAGATAATTGTGTTATAGAATATGATGCCCTTTCCCACCCAGCAGACGGGATTTATGTAAATCTTTCTGTCCTATAAGTTACAGTGGAAGGAAATGGGCTTGATCCTAAGGCTCCTTGTGAGGGCCGATCTGGAAATTCAAGATTGATGTTTCCCTAGAATACCCTGGGTTGTACCTTACTTCCTCTGAAGGTTTCTATAGGTGCGTGGGAGCTCTCTGTTAGCAAAGGGCTCATTCCATGAGATCTGATTTTCATCCAGAAGGTAGCACTAGAGGGTGAGAATCACAGTTCTAGCTGTTTTATTTCAGAGAAGACTAAAGAAGCAGATATAACACTTATCAATATATTAAGATAATGTCTGACCATTTTTGGCAATGTTTAAAATATCTGGTTTAATGAAAAAATGTACATGTTTTTAGGGTTTCTGAACATAAATGTACTTTGAACTTCAGTTTATTCAAGCTCTAGAATGTTAGGTGTCATTTCATTTGCCTCAAATTGCATTTTGTTCTCAGTTCAGTTTACTGTATTTCACTCCCTTTTTTTATCAGACTGAAGCAGCTCAAATGTGAAGTGACCTTTTTATTACTTCGTGTTTGAAAAATTACACTGAAGGAATCTTTCTGGATGATGAAAAGCATTTTTGCGTAATAATAGAACTAAGCAAATAATTTCTAGTTAATACTTTCTGCAGAATTTTCTGGTGCTTCTAAGTGCAGTTCTGTTTGTATGTCACTTATTTTGATTGGAGAATTTTCCCAATTTCTTAGAAATTTAATTACAGTGGTGCCTCGCAAGACGAATGTAATTCGTTCCATGAGAATTGCTGTCTTGCGAAAAAATCGTCTTGTGTGGTTCCCTATGGGAACTTCAGAAGACAAATTAAATTTATTTGTCTTGCAAGGCATTGGCCTCGGGTGGTGGGGGGGAACGTCTTGCGAAGCATGGCCATAGAAGAAACCGTCTTGCCAGGCACCATAACGATCGCCAAAACCAATTGTCTTGCGGGTTTTTCATCCCACGAGGCATTCGTCCTGCAAGGCACCACTGTATATCTGAATTCATCTTTGGGCCATTTGTAGAATTATCTTTTTAATGTTTCTCAGTTTTGGCTCCCCATATGTTCTTGGATTACAACTCCCAGAAATCCTGGGCAGCACAGCTAGTGGTTAAGTGTTCTGTGAATTTTAGTTCAAGAACACCTGGAGACCCAAGGTTGAGAACCATTGGCTTAATAGATTTGTATGCTTGTTACCTACTTCAAGTATTACGTGCATGGAAGTATTAACATACATTAATGCTATTAAATAAGAGAATTATGTTTGTATTTAAGTAGATAATATGTAGCTTGGTAATTATAGCTAAGGCTGACTTCCGGGGAGGGGTTTGTTAAGTAGTCTTGAGCTTTATGTGTTCACAGAGGCCTTAGCGATGATATTCAATACAACATTCTCAGATTCTAACTTCAGTAGTTTTGCTTCTGAATTTTGGCTCAGGACATGCTTACTATAACAAATCTTTCCGGGGTCAAACATAATGGGAGTGAATGATAAATTCTGAAGCAGTAAAATTAAATTGTACATTTTTATCAGGGATCTAAAGATAAAAATAGTGTATTCAAAAACACTGAAACTAAATTAAACTATTTCTAAAGAGTTGTGGATTTTTCCATACATGCTTGAAAGATTCATGAAAGATGAATAGTGGCATCTGCCTATTCATAGGAATATGTCTAAAGCTAGAATGTCAAATGGGGAGTTACAAGTGAGTGCCCCTGCCCATAGCAGCCTAACACCCATTATTTAAGAAATAAAAAATCTGCTCCGAAAGTCCCAAGGGGGCACATAGAAACTGGATTACAAATTATGCCACAACGTTTCCCAGAAGTACAGGGATCAATTTCACCATGCTTTGCTTTTGCCTTAGCGGTTTTAGGCACAAGGTGCTTTTTCCAAACCCAGATGTCATATCTCAGGTGTACAGTAGATGCTTGGATATTGACTCGCAGGCTGCTGAGCCAGTCAAAGAGATCCTTGATTCAGGGTAACTGGATTGTGTACAAGGGCAACATAGCTTTTTATGTTTTTGTTGGACTATGGAAGGTACTCTGAATTGTCAACCAGAGCCAAGCAGTTACTTCAGCCATAAAGGAGGTGGACTGAGCTTTCTGGTGAAAAAAGTAAAGATTCTAAATCCTTTTCCCGGTAGAGAGTTTTCTGCATGATTCCCCTGTGAAACAGAAGAGCCAGTGCATTTTGTGGCAGATACAAAAATGTATCACCTAAGGATTTCCTGTCTTTTTTTCTTTGAAGTTGCAATCCTGAAACTCTAGAACAGGAGAAGCAGTGTGTGTGCTGGTGGGGGATTCTAGGAGTGGTAATCTAAAAAGGCAGTTTTTCCAGGCTCTGCTACCATTCACTAAACCACATACTGATATAATGATACGTTTTCCTCTCTGGTCTCCATTCTGCATGGCTAGCAGCTGGGGGAAGAGAGAAAATACAAAAATTTAGCACATCAGTTCAATTTATTTAGCTATATGTATATACAGTACTTTATTGCTTTATAGCTGATCAGGCTGTAAACAAGAGAAATTAAACTAGTTTTAAATATAGTATTTAAAATCTAATGTACGAAATAGGAAGGGACAACTGTATCAAAGCTGGGTTGCTCTCCAGCCTACTTCCAGAGGAGAGGATGTAACACAGACTGCGAAGACATCATTTAGCTATGTAGCAGCTTCATGCTATCATTAAGTTTACATTTGAACTCAGGTTGTCTGAAATGACATAGAAGGTTTTAATTTTTAAACTATGACACATAAACCACACGTTATTGCAAAGTAAGTACCACTTAAAAATGATGAAAAGAAATTTACCATCCTACTTCAAAAGCATTGTGAAGGGCAAACATCCAGCACAGCAGGAATGGTGATGCATTTTGTTGTACATGCCATGGCTATTTAAACCTGTCTCTGCCACTTAGGTTGCGTTCTTTGCTTACTTAAGGGTAAATCATGTTAAATCACCACCATCATCATAGAACTGCAGAACTGGAAAGGCCCCTATAGATCATCAAGTCCAGCCCCTGTCAAGGAGGCACAGTGGGGAATCAAACCTCTGGCCCCACAGACAGATACTTAAACCAGCAGTTCATTAATCTATTTCTGAGTGAGCACTTTGTTAGAAGCATATTTGTATGAATGTCTGGAAGTTTATTACCTTTATTAATTTTATTTCCTGATTTTTTTCTGCTGTCAGAAAATAATTGATGGGAATGTTACACAGCTGAGAATTATCCTATGATAATAAAATATTTTGGATTTTAATTTTTAAATTTATCTTAGTGTAAGGTCCCAAATGAAAATTTAAAGATGACAGAAATGGTGGTATCAATTAGGGACCATTACAAAACAAGATTGATGCTACTCAGTTTAACTTTAAATATCTGTTTGATTTGTAATTGTTAGCAAAATTAGGATTGCCAACCTAGTATGATTATAATTGTGGGCTCATTAATCCCCTAGATGGCAGTGTTTGAAAAGTGTTAGCTGTATAATTTTACAGTGTTTGTTAATTTCTCTGCATTACACTTACTATATACAGAGGTATGTAATTTGGGGTTGCTTCTGGATTCATTTCTGAGTCTGGATGCCCAGGTTTTGGCAGTGGCCAGGTCTGCATTTGCACAATTAAAAAGAGTGCTGCAGTTGTACCCATTCCTGGAAAGGTCTGATATGACCGTGGTGACATGTCTTAGTTACATCCTGGCTGGATTACTGCAACACTATGTGGGGCTGCCTATGGAAACTGTCTGGAAACTTCAGCAGGTCCAAAATGCTGCAGTCAGATTGCTAACTGGGGCTGGTCACGGGGATTGTGTTACCCCACTGGCTGCTGGGCACAATTCAAAGTGCTAACCTATAAAGCCCTAAATGGCTTGGGTCCAAGGTATCTCAAGAACTACATCTCCATTTATGACCCCTGCTCACAATACACCTTTCCTCCAGTCCCGTCACTTTCACACGTGTATTTGGTGGGTACAGGGAAACAGCCTTCTCTGTTGCTCCTTTCATACTTTGGAAAGCTAGGTTGACTCCATCTTTACTGTCCTTTCTCAAGCAGGTGAAGACCTTTGTCTTCAGGCTGCCTGAGTGGCGTTTAAATGGATTATTGTACCTTACTGGTTTAAATGTGTTTTGGTGTTGCTTACATTTTTGCATGGTATTTGTTTGATTCTTTTTGGTAGTTATGTACTCACTGTTGTTAGTTTTAAGTACTGTGTTTTAATGATGAAGGTGCCTTGGGTTTTTTTTAAGGAGAAAAGCAGGGTAAAATTATTTTAAGTAAATGATTTTTATTTTTCTGCTGACTAAATGTGCATATATTGTATATACTTTAGCAATATACTTTAGTCAGCATATATAGCAAATTCATGTTACATAGCAGATGCTATGTAACATGTATTTGCTTTTTAGTCAGCATATATAGCAAATTCTATGTAACATATATAGCAGATGCTATGTAACATGTATTTGCTAATTAATATTCTGTTATTGAGTACAATGAGCTTGCCATTTTGTGTCCTGATGGTCTGTCAGGAATTTGGGGTGTGGAGATGGATCCGAGACAAATTAGTTTTCCAGGTCAACAGCAAAGAGACTCACAGAGATGGTAGATTCCTTCATCAGCAGTGTATTTACAAAATATGTACAGCAGAACTATGTACATTAGTCAGCAGAGTAAAAAATACAATTATCAATAAA